CCTGACACTGATCCCTGAGTCCCAGACAGATCACTGATCCCAGTGCCCTTAGTCCTCAGCTCCCAGTCACTGAGCCTGTTTCAGTGATCCTGATCCTGAACCAAGAACCTCCAATCTGAAGTATCTCCTTGAAGGAGCCAGCCATCTCTGCTTCTGGCCACTCTCTGACCCTCTTGCTGATATTCCGACTGACCACCCCCTTTCTCTATTTTGCTAAACTGTGTTGCTGCTGTTGCGTCTGGGGAAGTGTCATAATCACAATGAATTGAGAAAACGAGAGACCATTTACCAACACTTGAATTTTTGATTTTAGAAGATGGACCAGCATTCTGAGATAACTTCTGAGCGGCTAACCAGTAGGAGTGTGACAGGATTATTGACAGGGTGTTGTCGCTCTGTCTGACTCCTGGGAACACGTTTGGAACTTTGTATGAACCGAAACTCCCTCCGATTGCAGCCACAGTGGGCTCACTCCAAGCAGTAATCCCTGCACAGGCAATGAATTTCCTCCAGCCCCTAGCATCTGCACTGGAACCGCATTAACATCCAGCCGGTACTTGCCGAGCTTCTCGTGACCAATAACCACCGACAGGCGGATCTTTCACCGACTTTTCGGCTGGAATTGGACGTGAGAAGCGCCGAGCCTGTTTCTGACGCTGTTGCTCGGAGTGCAGCCGCAGTTTAAAATGTGATCCTGCAGCCTCCCCTATGTGTTGGTATGTAGACTTGCGGCAGAATTGCACATCTCGGAGATTCCTGCTTTCAAGATTTCATCCGAACCTCCCTAAATAGCCACGGCAGGATTTAACGAAGGCGGGGTATATTCTACTTTACACTTTGATTTGAGCAGTTGCTATCTGGCAAAGCATGGATATTGGGGAAGGGGGGTCGTTTCATCGAATACTGTGGCTAATGAAGATGTTGTAACACAAAATCCTCGCAGAAATGTCAAAGGCGGAAATAGGCGCTTGTTTATTTCTGGAAGCACCTTCTGAGACTGTGTCTAGTCTGTACAGGATTGACACCAAGTGACGTGTTGGGGTTGCAAGAGAGAGAACGGGGGAGAGGGCAGGCAGGAGGTGGGGGTAACAGAAGAAGGGAAAGGGTAAGAGGGAAGGAAGAGGGGATGGAAAGGGGGGGTGGAGAAAGGAATGGGTTGAGTGGAAAGGGGGAGGGATGATGGATGAGGAGAGAAAGGAGTGAGAGGAGGGGAGGAAGAATAGGTGAAGATTGAAGGGAGGGGGAGAGGGAAGAAGGGTAGGAGAAGTGGGATAATAGGAAGGAGGGGAGGGGAAGAAAGAAGTGGGGGGAAAGGAGTGAAGGGAGGAGAGTGGAAAGAGGGTAAGGGGAAGAGGGGAAGGAAAGGGGGAAGAGGGGAAGCGAGGGGGGAAGAGGGGAAGCGAGGGGGGAAGAGGGGAAGGGAGGGGGAAGGGGAAGACGGAAGGGAGGGGAAGGGGAAATGGGGAAAGAGAGGGAAGGGGAGGGGGAAGGAAGAGGGGAAGAGGAGAGTGAAGGGAGGAGAGGGGAAGGTGAAGGTGGGCGAGATGGGAAGAGGGGAGGGCACGGGGGAAGTTGCAAGGCAGAAGAGGGGAGAGAAAGGAGGAGAATGGGAGGGGGAGAGGGGAGGGGGGGTGGGGAAGAGGGGGGAGGAACGGAGGGGGATGGGGAACGTAGGGGAGGGTGAGGAGGTGGAATGGGTCTGTATGAAAAGCGGACTTGTTCCAAGGGACACTACCGCTGAAGTCAGTGGACCTCAAACAAACTTCGTGGGGGGGGGGGGGGGGGGGGGGCTGGCGCGATTGGAGAGTCCCTCTCTCGTCTTTACCCCCACTGGGACTCGGCTGCAGCCCTGTGGGGGGCAAGGACAGTTCTGGGAAAAGAAAACGGTGCTTCACCAACCCGGTTCAAACTCAGCCCAGGCAGGGGAATTCCTTCCAACTGACGGAGGGAGATGCTCATCTCTCACTGGGGGCTCGCAGAGTGGGGCTGGAGATGAAGGGTAAATGAGAGAGAGGGGGTGGTGAAGCTAAGATGGGGGTACAGCGAGATGAAGCGATACAATCAGAAAAGAAAGAGTCCGTGAGCCACACAGGGAGACAAACCCTCGGAGTCAGGGGCAGACAGATAGTGAGAAGCGGGAAAAACAAACAGGACAGGGAGAGAAACCACTAGAGGCCAGAGCAGGGAGGGAGGGAGGGAGAGAAGGGGTTGGAGGGGACACTAATAGGGAAGCAGGAGGACAAGAGAGAGAAATAAAACAAATAGAGAGAGAGAGAGATTGAAAGACCCAGATGTTAAGTTGAATTGAGTCAAATGAGACGAGCAGACGTAAAGACATGAAGCAGCTCTTATGGATTTGAGACGGGTTTTGAAGTCCCGCTTTGAGGACTCCAATCCTGACAGACCCCATGCTCTGCTCAGAGGCAGCCTCGACTTTCTTGAGATGAGGGATTTGTGAAGCGAACCTCCATTTCCCTCAAAGCGGTCTGCCAGACCAGGCATTGCATTGGCCTCTGATGTTGTTTGTCTCGATGGCCAAATGCAGGGTATGAGACAGACAGCTCCGGCTGCAGTTAGACCCAGGTAACACAGACTCCCAGCTCCGGACTGGGAATGGGACCAGAGAGGTCCAGGGAAAAGTGGGAATGGTGGGGCGGGGAAGAGAGCGGGATTGAGGGGGGGGGGGCGCGATCATCAGATTCGCTTCTTTAAACTCCATTCCATCCTCCTCCCACGAATGAACTTTAACCCCAGAATATAAGAAATGACCCTCACTCTGTCCTTGTCTCGTTGCAAGCAACATTTTATCTCCTAAAACTCGATACTTTTGTCAAAAAAAGGAATAAACTCAGTGGCAAATCTCTGTAGAAGAAAGCAGAACGCGTGAGGGGGGGCATCTTTAACTGCACTGCGGTGTTAGTAAGTGAAAAAAATAAAGTCCCACATTGATAACTTGAAAGTCCTAGCACACCCGCGCTCTATAAACATATTATTGCCATTTTGAATATGTCAGTAAGCAGTTCAGTGATAGCTGATTCCTCTCTGATTATATATAGCCCGTCGTCACAGGGCAATGTGCAAAGGGGGACAGGTCTCTGTACAATAAATAGCGAAGTCCTATACACTGACTCAAAGCCCAGCGACTGCAAGGAACGTGAGTCGAAATTAAAACACACAGACGCACACACACACGGGAAAAATGAGAAACCAGCAATTACTTACATTTCCGTAACGTTCTCCATCTCCTGCAAATCCAGGACGGGGAAAATGGTGACATTATCGGGTTGATTGCAGTAAATCTGGCTGATTTTGCAGATACAGTTCCCCGGGCAGGCCCGCACCCAGAAACAGTTTTGCAAACTACAAGTAACCCACAGAATCCTCCACAGAAATCCCCGCGTAGAAAAGGCAGGCCAACGCGACATGTTCAGTGTGTCAAAACTGTTACAAGCTTGTCCGGAGCCCTTTATAATCCCCCCTCACTTTGTCAGGCGTTGCTAACACGCTCCCATAGACAGGAGAAAGAGAGAGAGCGAGACAGAGGGAGAGGGAGAGGACACAGATAGGGAACAGGCAGGAAAAACCGCGTCTCCTCTTCAAAACATCTTCACATCCGCCGGCTCTGTGTATTTGCCACCTTTGTTTTTCAGTTACTTCGATAATTTCAGCCCTGGATTCGGAAGAGAGAGAGGGAGAGGATTTCAAAAAAAAATCCAACCACAGTGATCACAAAGGAAGGATGCGAGCAGGACCAGAGAGAGAAATTGACCGGCCAGAAATTCCAAGCGAAACTGACACCTGGAAGCCCAGGAGTGGTACAGATCCAAAGCCAAAGGGAGGGAGGGTAGGGGGGCTTGTCCAGTCACAGGCACAGGGACGAGTTAGACTGAGATACAGCGTCGCGGGGATGCTGCGTGCTGGGGCTGAGAAAATGAGAGAGAGCGAGCGAGAGAGAGAGAGGGGGAGTAAAAAAAGAAGCAGGAGACGTGATTAGAGAGACATGATATAGAGCTGGAGGCGAGCGTGCCCCGTTCAGTTTACAGATTTCCAATCCTGTGCATCACCAACATGAGTGAAATTAAAGCCTTCCCCTCACCTCCCTCCCTCATCCTCCACCTCCCCCTCTCCGTGGGATTCAGTAAATGACTGTGTAACAGGAATAAATCGTTTTTTTTTAAATCCAATTTTCCGAGATTTAACAGTTGAAAGTTACAAATTACAGTCAGCAGATTTCAACTAAAAATGCCAACGTTACATCTGCAGAGAGAGAGAGAGAAAATAGCGGGGAGGGGGAGCTGGAGCGGAGCCCAGGGATGGAGGTCTACTGCAGCAACAAGGGGTTCACTTTAGGCAAAGCTTCCCTGACCCTCCGCAGGATGAAAGGCGAAAGGCAAAGCAAAAATCCGACAGCAGTTACCCAGCTCAAAAAGAAACACACACACACACACACACACACAGGAAATGTGCCAGAGAGGGGGACCAGCAGAGTGTGAGAGGGAGGAGAGAGGAGAGTGTGTGAGAAGGGGAAAGTGAGATGAAGAGAATTTGTGGAAGAGGGGCTGGAAACAGAAGAGTGCTAGAGAGAGAGGAGTAGGAGAGGAACATGGAGAGAGAGAGAGTGCAGAATAATGAGGGGAAGAGAGGAGAGTGAGGGAGAAGAGAGTGAGGGAGAAGAGGAGAGTCTGTAGTAGGAGAGGAGTGTGTGAGGAAAAAGAGGAGTGTGAGGGAGTAGAGAAGAGTGAGAGGGAGAAAAGAGCATTAGGGAGAAGAGAAGAGTGTGAAGAACTGGAAATGCAAGAGAGGATTGTGTGAGGGAGGAGAGGAGAGTAAGGGAGAAGGGGAGACTGTGCCAGAGAAGGGAGGAGACTGTGAAGTAGGAGAGGAGTATGTGAGGGAGAAGAGCATGTGAGGGAGTAGGGAAGAGTGTTGGGGAGGAGAGGAGTGTGTGAGAGAGGAGTCTGAGGGAGGAGAGTGTGAAGGAGAAAAGAATATGAGGAAGAAGAGGAGTGTGTGAGTGAAAAAGGTAATTGTGAGGGAGAAGAGGGGAAAAAGTGAGGGTGAGTATGAGCATGTGAGGTAGGAGAGAGGAGAATGTGAGGCAGAAGAGGAGGGTTCAAGAGAGAAGGGAGGAGAGTGTGCAGTGGGAGAGTAATGTGTGAGGAAGAAGAGAAGTGTGAGGGAGGAGAAAAGAGTGTGTGGGAGAAAAGAGCATTATGGAGAAGAGGAGTGTTTGAAGGAAAAAGGAGAGTGTGAGGGAGAAGACAGGAAAATGTGAGGGTGAAGACAAGTGTGTAACTTAGGAGAGAGGAGTGTGTGACGGAGAACAGGAAAGTGTAAGGGAAGAGAGAGAGGGAGGAACATATCATAGGGAAAGAGTGAGCATGTGAGTGGGACAGTGAGAAAGGTGAGGGAGAGGACTGTGTGAGTAGAGTGTGAGAGGGAGAAGAGACTGAGAGGGAAGGAGAGTCAAATGAGAGGGGAAGATAGGAGCATGAGAGGGAGAGCGAGAATCATAGAATCATAGAATTTTTACAGTGTGGAAGCAGGCCATTCAGCCCTTTGAGACCATACTGCTCCTCCAAAGACCATCCCACTCAGACCCAGCACCCTACCCTATCCCAGTAACCCTGCATTTCCTATGGCTAATCCAGCTAGCCTGCATATCCCTGGACACAGGGCAAATTGGCATGGCCAAGGTGTGAAAGTGAGGGAGTGAGAATTTATGAATAAAGAACAGGAGTAGGCCACTCAACCTCTTAAACCTGCTCCATCATTTATTAAAGTCATGGCTGATACAAATACTCCACATTCCAGCTTGCTCTCAGTAACATTTCACCCCTTTGCTTATCAAGCACCTACTTCAACCAAAAATATTTACACTCAGCTTGTCTGCCTTTCAAGGAAAAGGTTTCCAAAAGCTCATGATCCTCTCAGAGAGAGAGAAAAAAACTCTCATCTCTGGCTTAAATGGGCAACTGCTAGATGTAAACAGTAACCCTTAGTTATAGTTTCTCCCGCGAGAGGACAGTTCCTCTGTTTCTGAGGAGAGAGTAAAAGGAAGACAGTGTGTGTAAAGGAAAGAGTGAGGGAGATATGTGAAGTCGACTTCCAGTTAGACAAGAGAGAGGAGAATTGGTGATGGAGTTAGCCTTCCGGAGTCATGGAGAAACCAAGCAGGGAAGGACTCGAGAGGTGTGGTAGAAACTTTGAAGAAAGTGAGGACAGGAATTCCAGACACAAATTAAAATGTTATCAGAGTAAACCCATCTAATTTTGGACATAGAGGCAAAATATTTTAGAATATTGCAGAACTTATTTTATTATTTTGTTTTACAAGTTGATTAAAAACAGTAGATGGGGTATCTGCCAGTACTTAATTTTATTATTGATTAAGATAAACAGATCATTGAAGAGTTACGAATAGTTAGAGAATATTTGCTGTGTTCGCGCAGCATTTTACAAGCGAGTGTGGGAATTTGGGAATTATGGGCGGAATCACAGGCTCAGATTCACTGCAAAAAAGCTTAACATCAAAACACTTTGCAATAAATTTATAGACAAATAAATGTATAGAAATTTCTATACATTTATTTGTCTATAAATTTGTGATAGCCTGAAATTACCTAATGCTGATACTCCTGCAGAATTGAAGAGGAATTCTGTCATATGAGTCCATAGGATCATTATTGACTCTGAATTCCTGACTATCTTCAACTCATAGATTATTATTGCATACAAATACTGTACCGAGAAGAGCAGGTCTGAAGGTGGGAATATTGCAGTCAGTAATTCACTTCTGTATTCCCTAATGTTTGCTCACCACAAATCAGGAGTGTGTTGGAATATTCTTCACTTACCAAGATGAGTGCAGCTCCAACAACATTTAGGAAGCTTCACAATGTTAGGTACAAGACAATCCACTTGAATGGCACTCCATTCAGCATTCACTCCCTCCCACCACTGACACTCAGTAGTGTCAGTGTATACCATCTAAAAAATGCACTGCAGTAACTCACCAAGTTTCCTTCAACAAAACCTTCCAAAATCATTCAGAGATTGTAGGAACTGCTGGTGCTGGAGTCTGAGATAACAAGGTGTGGAGCTGGATGAACACAGCAGGCCGAGCAGCATCAGAGGAGCAGAAAAGCTGACGTTTCGGGTCTGGACCCTTCTTCAGAAATCCAAACTCATGACTTCTACAATCACAGGGGGCCACAGAGCTGCTCTCTTATTAGATAGCCTAATGGTATTATCACTGGATCCAGGTAATGTTCTGGGAATCTGGATTTGAATCCTGCCATGGCAGATGGTGGGATTTGAATTCAATAAAAATCTGAAATTAAGAGTCTAATGATGACTATGAATTCATTGTCAAATGTCAGGAAAAACCCATCTGGTTCACTCATGTCCTTTAGGGAAGGAATCTGTCATCCTTACAAGGTCTGGCCTACATGTGACACCAGACCCACGGCGATGATGTTGACTCTTAACTGCCCTCTGGGAAATTCGGAATGGATAATCAATACTGGTCTGGCCAGCGATGCCCTCTTCCTGTGAATGAATTAAAAAAGAAGTGATGAGTTTAACCTGAAGGTCATCATGCATTACGAGGGCAAGGTAAACAAGGTAGACTTTCATCATAACCTCAACTATTGAGGGAATTGAACCTGCACTGTTAGCATCACTGAACAGCCATCAGCCAACTGAGCCAACTGACCTCCAACAAGTGGAAGGACAAAGGAAACAGACACATGAAAGCACCACCATCTCCAATTTACTCTCCAAGCCACACACGAGCTTGATGTGGAGCTATATCACTGCTCCTTCACTGTCACTGGGTCAAAATCCTGGAACTCCCTTCCTAACAGCATTAGGGAGCATCTACACCAAATGGACTACAGTGTTTCAAAAGGGCAACTCAGCTGTACCTTCTCAAGAGGAATTAGGGATGGTTAATAAATGCTGGCCTAGCCAGCGATGCCCATGTTCCATGAAAGAATAAATAAAGAAGGATGTGGAGATGCACAAAGTAGTACAATATAGTTCTTATTTGCTGTCAGTAACTAAAACTGTGCTAACTATGCATCTCATGTCGAAGAAGTGCTTGGTGGGAGGTGACTTCCTCTACTATTGTAAAATAATAACCAAAATCAAACAAAAAATAAACTTGTCAGCTTCTGAGGGCACTTTGCCAAAATACAAATCACAAAAGAAGCTAAAAATTAAAATGTAATTTCGGAAAGTGATGAGGCACCCTTCTTCCTTGATTTTCCAGCACCCTGATCCTTTAAAGGTGTCACAAGGAAAATCAATGTGACGTCATTCAGGAGTGCTTCCCTCCTATCTTTCACCACAGCCATGGATGACTTGTGTGTCTGCCTGGATTGAAAAAAATTGTCCAGATTCTTCAAGAATTAAAGACGCAGCCTCGGGAGAAGCCATTATATTTTAAAAACACTCTGTTTCTTCCCCCTTTTTCATTGAACATCCTAGAGTCACAGAGTCATAGACTAATACAACCTGGAAACAGGCCCTTCAGCCCAAACTGGCCCATGCTGACTGTGGTGCCCACTCAGCTAGTCTTCAAGTATTAGCTGGAGCAATATTACTGATAATTAAAAATAAGCTTAATTGAATAGGCCAAGGTTATTCAAGAATACCTACGAGAATACGTTCAGCTAGAGGAGACAATGTCAAGTCCCTCTCCTCTGGCCATCCCCTGCTAAAGCACCTCTGCCACTGTTGATCGGGTGATGTTATTTCCCATCCACTTTCAACTTCCTTGAAATAATTGA